TCTTATAATAAATAGCATCAGACCGATCACAAATTGTTATTACAGATCGTAAAGGACTAATTGGACATTATAATTTGCCAAATAAACGTATGCTTCAAGAATAGAGGATGCTGAAAATTCCCTATTCCCTGGAGCTTATGCTAAATGATAGTGATTAAATTTTAACCTATTCAGCAGTAATTGGTATCAACCAAAAGGAATGGAGCAAGCAGAAGATGTACTTTTTTTGCTAATAAAGAACTTTTGTTTATATATATTTATGTATATAAAATACAAAAAAGTAAGTGAACACGCAGGGATATAAAAGAGTTACAAATCCACAAAAGTCCATTTTGATGCTCTATGCAGGAACGCCTAGTCGGAAGGGGGAAGGGGCTATCCATCGAAACTGTGTGTGGGGGGGGGGCTTTTATACGAAAGCACTCCATATCACTTTATTTAAGATTTACCCTCTTGTTCGGCCCTTTCAACCCCCAACAAGACTCGTCCATTTCACTGCTTCGTTCGCTCCTTATACACCCGATTCTATATTGCGCCTCCACCTCTTGAGCATCTCGCTCTCTATTTTTAAGAGTGATCTTATTTATTTTTCGCTTCTTACGATTTTCAGAGAACAATTGTATATATCTTTTTATATATAAATCCGTTTCTTTTGATATAGGTACTTTTTTATATACTTCTATATACATAGATTTCCCTATATATAGTACTAAAAACTGGTAAATTTTCATTTTGTAAAAATTCTTTCTTCTTTTTTTATTTTGAATGATAATTTTAGCTAAATATATTAATAACACCGTCCGACAAAATTCAACTTTTTTTTCACACACGAAAAAATCAATGATTTTCAGAAACTAGGACCAAAAAAAAGATACCCGTGTTTGGCCGTTTTGTTAGATCAGGTCATTTTTTGCTTTTAAGGGTAAAAACAACCATTAAATGAAAGGTGATACGAAATCTTGTACAATAAAATAATTTTTTATGAAACCTGGTATCTCGAGGTTTTCCGGGTCGCTGATTACGAATCTGATGTCAGATTTTCAAAATTCAAAATGGCGGATCCAATATGGCGGTCGAAATTTATAAAAGTTCATCGAATTCACTTGAAACTTGTTACTTGAAGGTTTTTGGGGTCGCTGATAACGAATATGATGTCAAATTTTAATAATTCAAAATGGCGGATCCAATATAGCGGTCGAAATTTATAAATATTAATTATTTTTTATAAAACTTGATGTCTAGGGGTTTTTGAGGTCGCTGAGTACGAATCTGAAGTCAGATTTTTAAAATTTTAAATGTCACATTCAATATGGCGTTTGAAATTTATAAAAGTTCGTCGAATTCACTTGAAACTAGTTACTTGAAGGTTTTTGGGGTTGCTGATTACGAATTTGATTTCGGCTTTTCAAAATTCAAAATGGCGGATCCAATATGGTGGTAGAAATTTATAAATGTTATTATGTTATTATTATTATTATTATTATGTTATTATCAGCGACCCCAAAAACCCCTAGACACCAAGTTTTATAAAAAAATAATTAATATTTATAAATTTCGACCGCTATATTGAATCCGCCATTTTGAATTTTGAAAATCTGACATCATATTCGTAATCAGCGACCCCAAAAACCCCTAATTAACAACTTTCAAATGAATTAGTGAATTTTTATAAAAATTTCGACCGCCATATTGGATCCGCCATTTTGAATTTTGAAAATCTGACATCAGATTGGTAATCAGCGACCCGGAAAACCCCGAGATACCAAGTTTCATAAAAAATTATTTTTTTGTACAAGATTTCCTATCACCTTTTATTTAAGGGTTGTTTTTACCCCTAATACCAAAAAATGACCTGATCTAGCAAAACGGCCAGACACGGGTATCTTTTTTTTGGTCCTAGTTTCTGAAAATCATTGATTTTTTCGTGTGTGAAAAATCGTGTCGGACGGTGTAATAGGTATGGTATAAACAATCGCCACTAAAATTAAGAGTAGTTTTTTATCCACAATTCTTTTTTGAAATTTAAAATTTTCTTTTTGAATGTCAGAAAAATTTTTGTTTGAAAATAAAATCACATATATATATATACATAAAATCTTTAGGCAGATATATATATGTATAGATTCGATCCGGTTCTCATGCATCTTATTCGCATCTATTTATACTTCCATTTACCTGAGAGTAGACAGGCTGATATTCTTTTATATATATACATTTAAGAGGAAAGAAGAACTTCAAAGACGTGTAATCTTTTTGCAATTATGGAACATATACTATTTAGTGCTAAAACTAGAAAATTTACAATAATTAAAGAAAATAATTACAATAACTTGATAAAAAAAAATATAATTCCAATCAAAAGAGAAGAATATTATAATTACATTATACAATATCGAAAATATATATACTCGTATATATATATAATTATAAGATTGCTGTCAAGAATTATAATACATTATAAATCTGATAATCATATAATAATAATAATTCAAGTTTATATTATAAGAGAAGATTGAACGAGAGAATAAGTAATAATTTCATGAAAATGGCAATCTAAATGTGGCGCATATTATATATATATATATATATATATATATATATGATCCTTGTTTTTGTTTTGGAAATCTTTTTGCCAAGGTGAGAGAGAGAGAAGAAGAGAATATATAAAAAGGGATGAGAAAAAAGAAACAGAAACTCAGCTCGGGCAAAGGGAAACTAAAACTCATTTCCGCAGCATTAGCCAATTATTTTTTGCAAAAGGGTGTCGGTTGCCATTAGCTTCCCCTTTTTTCAAAAACATACCCAACCAAAAATTTCAGTATTATACCAGAGTTAACTACTGGCGCAGTACTGGTTCAGTATTGGCTGCCAAGGCTGGGCAGTCTGTACTGAACCAGTACTGGTGTTTTCATTGTATCAGTACTGGTGCAGTACCAACCTTCCAGTACTGGCAAACCAGTACTGAGCCGATATTGAGCCAGTACTGGTTCAAATAGATTTTCTTTTTGATTAATACTAGTTTACAAAAAGTTCTAGAGTGAACCTGATGAATCTTTTTATTTAAATATTTTGTTTATAAAAATTTTTTTTACTTTGATTTTATTTTTGAAAATTAAAAGGTATTTTATTTTGCTTTTTTGTGGGTAAAATTATTTAAACAAAAAGTTTCCTGAGACTAATTCCAAAACATTTTGCAATTTTTTTTTTTTTTATTGTTTTCAGATATGCGCAATAAACCAAAAACATTTTAAAACGATCAAACTAAAAATAAATAAATTTTTTTATAAAAAAATTAATAATTTTTAAAATAAAAATTCAAAAAAATTTTCTTGACAACACTTGTTAAATATTAAAAAAACAACTTTTATTTTCTTAAAAAAGTTTTTTTGGAAATTTATTTTGATGCAAATAATTAAAGTGAATAATAAAATAATTAAATAGCTAATTGTATAATTATATACATTATAATTATTTTATAAACATTTTTATTTTTACTTAACTGTTTTTATATATATTATAAAAACTTTGGTTTCATAATAAACATATTTTTATATTTTTTTTTTTGATATTTTTAAATAATAATTTGCAATATATATTATACTTAATAAAAAATAAAAACTCTTGGTGTTTTCGATTTTATGTATAATAAAATATTAATTAGTTAGTTGACTAATTTCAATAATTTTTTAATTTGTGTTGGGTTACTAAAAATTTCACACACTTTTTCCTGAAAAAAAAGTATTACCTGGAGCAGAGATTTCACTATTGCAGTGAAACTTATCTCTGTTACAGTTAAAGCTTTCTTTTCGTATACAATAAATTACAAAACTGCCAGTACTCGGACAGTACTGAACCAATACTGGTGCCAACTCTGGTAGCCAATACTGGTAAAATGTTATCATCCCAAAGTTACGCCAACTCTGGCGCCAATACTGGGTGCCAGTACTGCGCCAACACTTGTCAGTACTGCGCCAGTACTGCGCCATTAGTAAATTTTTGATTGGGTATATATACATAACTCCTAGATGGGTCTTGATGTGATAAATAATTTTTGATCATGTTTTATACAAAGATCTATACAGTATAGATGATTCTTTAGGAAAAGATTCTTTAGATGATGTTCCTTTAAAAAATGTTCTTCTGCTCAATGAAATCGTTTTTGCTAACCTTCAGCAATAGTTAGGTCCAACCAAATGCGGTGCTTACTAACATGTGTTAAATTTGCAAATTTATATATGCAGTGTATATATATACACTGTTAAAAATTTTTGACCGAAATTTTATACAAAAGTGTGTGAAGCAATTATCACATACAATTTTTTAAATTTACAACACATTTTTTGAAATTTAATACAAATTTTTTGATTTAAATTTTAAATACATTTATTTAGAATTTCAAACACTTTTCTTTAAATTTAATATAAAAATTTTATCTAAAATTTCATACACTTTTAATTGAAATTTCATACATTTTTGTTGGAAACTTCATATACTTTTATATGAAATTTCATAAATTTTTGTGTTGAATTTCATACACTTTTATTTGAAATTTCATACATTTTTGTGTTGAATTTCATACACTTTTATTTGAAATTTCAAAAATTTTTGTATGAAATCCAAAATATTGTTATCTTAAGTTTAAAAATTATTGTTTGAAATTTTATACATATTTGTTTAAAACTTCACATACTTTTATTAGAAATTCTGTTTATTTTTATTTGGAATTTCAAACATTTTTATTTTAAATTTCAAATTTTTTGTCTGAAATACCGTACATTTTAATTTAATCTTTTAAAAATGTTTTGTACTTTTTTCAGAATATTTTTTTCGCATTAAACGGGCTATTTCAAATGAAATGAATTAGAAACATATAGTTTTAAAATGTTTATTCACCATATTTATTTAACAAACTTACAGTACATAAGGACTTGACAATTTTCAAGTAAAAATCTCAGCAAGACAAAAATCTTAATTTAGTTATAAACATTACACCTTGATTAAAAATTTTCAATTTTTATAAATTATATACGACGCTTAATTTATAATCAAAGTTAGGTATTTTTACTCAATCCTTCCTTTTGTTCCTTGTTGCTGAATTTATATTCATAAATCCCTGAAAAAGATTATAACTGTAAATATATACAGGATATATAATAGAAAAACATGCTTTTATCCAAAAATGCAGTCTTACCTCTGAAAAAATTCCAAGATTTTCTTCAATTTTTAGGATGGCATAACCAAATACATAATATAAGCAAATAACAAAGAATTCCGTATTTTCATCCTATAATAATTGACCTGAAAATTTAAGATTCAATTTATTAGATGTAAAGAAATAAAAAGAGTTAAAAGGTTAAAAAAACCTAAGTTATGCTGAAGTATGATAAATCGAAATTCTATCAAATGAATTATTATTATTATTATTAATTTTATTTACCTTGATTATGTAGTCCTTTAATTTACTTAATTTAATTTACTTTTTTAACTCACTTCAATAATTTTTATTTTAAACAGTTTTAACGCTGGTTCAATCAGTATATTCTTGGGCAAATGCTCAAGAGCAACTGACGCTGAGAGGGCCTTTCTGAGTAAAGTCTCTCAAAAAAATTTACAATTTTCCAACATTTCCTGTGAATATTCCAAACCGAAAGAATTCACAAACTTTTAGTCTAAACGAATCTATAAGAAAAAAACTAGTACCGAAAAACTCATAAAATAGGTCCTCTTGAAATAAGAAACCCCTATAGGTGGTCGCATCCTAAGACGAACCAGATGTGCGCGAATCCTTTTAAAACGAGAAAATATTTCAAATATTTTATATATTTATTGTAGAATGAAAAATTTTTACTATAGAGTATAAAATCTTTTCTAAAACTAAATAATTTTTGTAGTGTTTATTTACAATTTTCATCATAACTTAAAAATGTGATTTTGTGCTTTTAACATCATTTGCATTGTACACTGAAATAAGTTTTCTTAATTAAGAACAAAAAATTATTTTTGTTAACTTTATCTGTTTGTTAAACAAATTAAATTGTACTTTCAAAAGATGATTATGAACATACGTTAGCTTATTTTTTTAATATTATTTATAAATATTTATTATAATTTACAAATTTCATTATAAATACTTGAAACTTTAAGACAATTTTATGTATTAAAATGTTGTAGTTTTATAATACTTTCTAATATTTGTATATGACATTATATTATATAAAATTGTTTGAAATTTTCAAACACATTTGTAGGACAATGTTAAAGAATTACAAAACTTTCAAACAACTGTATTTGAAATTATTTCATAAACAAATTTTTGAATTTTTCAAACATTTTCTGTATTAAAGTGTTGTAAATTTGCAAAAATTTCAAACATATGTATTAAAAATTATTTCATATACAAATTTTTGAAATTTTCAATCACTTTGTGTATGAAAGTGTTGTAAATTTATAATACATTCAAACATTTGTGTTTGAAATTATTTCATAAAAAAAATTGTTAATTATTCAAACATTTTTGTATTAAACTATTGTAGATTTACAACACTTTCAAACATTTGTGTTTGAAATTATTTCATAAAAAAAATTTTGAATTATTTAAACACTTTTGTATTAAAATATTGTAAATTTACAACACTTTCAAACATTTGTGTTTGAAATTATTTCATATACAAATTTTTGAAATTTTCAATCATTTTCTGTATGAAAGTGTTGTAAATTTACAATTTTTTCTAACAGTGTATGTATACGATTGTCATTCGACTGACAAAGCCTTCCTCTCTCTGCTCTCGTTTGATACAAATCGATCTGTCATTTATCGTTGTCGACACTCCTGTTATGACTCGTTATTAAATCTTATATTAGCGATATCTTAATTGAGGCCACCTCTCACCCGCATGTTGCATTCGCATACCAAAACGGCGACAATTATCTCAGCGTGTATTGAGTTCCAGGTTATATATATATATATATATATATATATATATATGCAATACTATATATATTAATATATATGTTTATGATATAGATACATGTATTAATATATAGGAAGTAGAATATATCTATATATAAGACACCGAGTGAGTGTTCCGATAGCATACAACGCATTTTGTGATTACGCGATACACGTACGCTTGATACGGATCCCATATCAAGCGCCCTCATATTATACTTGTGTATCGACTCATCCCAATACTCTACGCCCGAGTGTGTGTGGGTATATATATATATGTATTACTCGACATGAACGGCTGCCTACACATGAGCATATTATATTGTTAATCTTGAAACCGCGCCTATAAGAATCCACTTAATGAAAATTCCGTCGGACCCGTGCGAGTAAGAGAAGGAAGAGGAGAAGAAGAACTCCAATTGGTCCGCTCTCCGAAGGAAAACCACCGCGTTCGAGAGCGGCATTGTGAAGCAATTAATAATGTCATATTGCTCTCCCTCTCTCTCTCCTGGTCCTTCACCCTTTTGGTCTTTCTATATAATACCCCTTCGTATAAATATCAAACTACCCCTCATTCTCTATCCCCCCTCTCTCTATCGTTCATCGCCCTTAGCTTTATATATAGGAAACATGTATATATATATACAAATAGGTGCGTATATATATATATAACGGTGGGGTATAGGCTGTTGTGAATATTACATTCCTCGTTGTATATATACCAACTATATAGAGGATATATCCCGCGCCAGACAATAAGATGGCCCTTGCAATTAATTTCTCAGCGCAGCAGCTTATTGCTAATTAAATTTTTGGGCATCTTCTTTTATATATATATTTAAGAGGATTTTCAAAGTCGTCCTTTTCGTTTTAGAACAAAATTTATGGTCATAGATAGGTTATTTTTTTATCAGTGTCGGCGGTTTCTATATAAAGGTAGATTTCAATTTAGCACTATATATGTATGTGCGTTATATAGTCTCCTATATACAGACGGTGGAAATCGATTGCCAGAAGAAAAGCACCAAGCTTTAGTTTGAAATTGAAACGTTTTGCTGTTGAACATCAACTGCGTTTATTACACATTTAAATTTAATTATTATTAATAATATTATTACTATGACCTCAAATGAGAAAAATAAGCGAAAGTGGTGAGAGAAAAACATAACTAGAAACAAAAAAAAGAATGTAAACGAATATCATGTATAGAAGGAGATGAGAAACAAAAGAGAAAAGGATAAAGACAAAAGAGGAGAAAGAAATTGAAACAACGACAAAGATGGAAACAAAGAAAAAAGAAAGAGAGACAATGTGTTCGCTGTCAATTAGCAGAAGAGAACGACGCAAGAGAAGGTCTGTTCGGTGTTTTTACGAGAGGCTGGGGTTGAGTCGTTTACAGCCGAAGAGAATCGGTGCCCTAAATGACCCCTCCCCCTCCTCATTCTATGAACATTCAACCCCCTCCTCAACCCCATGGCTGCCTTTTCAACATCATCACCACTACTACTACCACCCTTCGCGTAAGATTTACGGCGATTCGTTTTTTGCCATCTTAAGTGCTCTGCTCACATTATCTCACACTGCAACTAAATATATATATATATATATAAATATATACTCTCGCACGTCGACATGAGTAGCACAGATACGACTTGTAACAAGTATATTATTTGCCTTATAGTACAAATAACGTTCCAGACACCTATAATTGGTGGAAAGTATATATATCCGTTTAATTGAATCACCCTTTTTTTTATATATATATGATTTCAAAGGAAATTGTGTTTGATAACCTTCAGCATCAGTTAGGTGCAATCAAAACTTTTCTAACATGTTTTGGATTAATTTAACATTTTTGCGATATTAATAATGATGTCCAAAAAAAAGTTACAAAAATCTGTTCACAGAAAATTAAAAGGCATTAAAATAAGCTGCAGCGCTTCTTATTTTAATCCAATTTTGCTTATTTTAATACCAAAATGGATAAAAATAAGCAAAATTGGATTAAAATAAGAAGCGTTGCAGCTTATTTTAATGCCTTTTAATTTTCTGTGTTATAATTTCACTCCGGATTTCTTCTTAAAGGAAATATTTGTTAATAACCTTCAAAAATTAGTTTATGCTACTGTTACAATTTTTTCTGATTTTTTCACTTTGTTAACATAAATTATTAGATAAAATTTGTGTTTATATGTAAGCCGTCGCGAGTTTTGTCGTTCTTGAGCATTCCAAAATTTTCCTCATAATACATGTATATAACAACTATAGTAGTCTTTAATCATGGCAAGTCGCCAGTAGTATGTGAGTTTATAACGACACGCGTTCTGAAGAAGAGTCTCGCGCATCGATTTTCACTATATATATATATACACGAGTTTAAGAGAGTTTAGTACGAAAATGATTTTGAGAACCTCTGCCCGCTCACATATATATACATATAGAATCCTATGCTTTCCCTGACGTCCGCTTAATTAATTACTATTCGCGGTTTTAATTAGCCGAGGTCTGCCTTCACTCTCTTGCACTATGGAAAACCATGGTGGAACGTAAGTAGGCATATGTTCTATATACATTTACTACTACAAAAGTGTGTTCTTCGTATAAGTATATACCTCGGTATATACAAACTCACCGGAACAATTGCCATATAGCTTTCCCGGCATCGTCGACACACAAAAGTTACTCTCTTCTTTACTCGCGATGCAATTTTCTTTAGCTCAATAGAATTTTAGTGTTGCTCTCTATGATACAACTTGCTTTTTTTTTATTAATTTACACGGAAAAACTTTGTGCAAGAATCATTCCTAAATTTGTTCAGGAACTGAGGATATGAGAATAATTTAAGAAATCTTATTAATACACTGAAAGACTTTTTGTTTCAAAAATTAATATAATTTGTTTCAAAATGAGGATAACTGTATTTTTGTACTATTTAGTCGTATGAACGTACTTGTTTCTAACCAAATAATACCAAAAATTAGTATGGACCATACTAATTTTTGGTATTATTTGGTTAGAAACTACCATACTACCATACTAATTTTTGGTATTATTTGGTTAGAAACTAGTACGTTCATACGACTAAATAGTACAAAAATACAGTTATCCTCATTTTGAAACAAATTAGATTAATTTTTGAAATAAAAAGTCTTTCAGTGTATTTCTTTGAAAAATTCTAAGCAGTATTTCTATAAGAATTGTAGAGAAATTCAAGACAACTTCCTAAACTCACTACAGAAAGTCTTGAATTTGTTTTAGAATAAATTTTTACGTTTGCGAGAAAAAAAATTTACATCTCTCAGCTACCTTAGAAGCTTATGATATTATGCATTGGAAACGTATTTAACGCAACCAATCCCTGCCTAGTGCTTGGTTACTGTACTCTGTGTCTTCTAAAACAGTTCAAGAAACTTTCAACGCCCAGTGACTGATGAGATACATATTCCGATCGCGGCATTAACAAGAAGTCTTCCAATGTCATAATAAAAATACAAGTATTTTCTTCAATGATTTTTGTATTTTTCTGTAAATTTTGCAGAATTTTTCTCATATCCTCAGTTCCTGAACAAATTTAGGAATGATTCTTGAACAAAGTTTTTCCGTGTACTTTTAAAAACAGAGAAAGAGAGAGAGGGGGGGGGGCAGTTACAATGTTATGCGTACACGGAAAGAAATGCTATCGAAATTTCAGCCATAAACTTATGGTTGAGATTTCTGGTT